TGTTCATTCTACTTACTGAGGTTCATGTCTAAAGTCAGACTTGTGTTCATGGATATGTAATATCAGCTGTGCTTGCTATTGGATTAAGTTCATTAGCGAATAAATAAAATGGGGGGAAAAGGCATAGAAAGCAACCATGGATACCAGAGACAGTGTGGGAGGAGGGTGAGACATGGCAGAGAGTGAGAGATAGGGAATCAAGGATGGCAAAAATAACAAAATATACAGGAAACAAATGGAAAATTATTTGTTGATGATACCACATATGTTGATGTGCTTGATTGAACCAATTTACAGTGTATTCTGGATGGGAAATCTCATTTGGTTTGCTGTAATGATGTATAGTGAATGAATGTAAATTAAAAAAAAAACAATTTTTAACAATTTGGTGGGCTTTAAAAAGTTCATGGAAAATGCATATTATGAAAAATCTATATATGTTTTTCAAACTTGTATCAAAATAAATTTGTACTTTAGTTTAAAAAAATAATACCATTTACTGAAGAGCCCATTCTGGGGTGGCTCTGTAGTATAGTGGTTAAGAGCTGTGCATTGGATCCAAATATTGGCGTTAGCATCTTGAATAAAAGGCGTCAGGGGTGTGTGTGTGTGTGTGTGTGTGTGTGTGTGTATGTATGCCCAAAATCCTGTTGGAAAGAGACATAGAGGAAAAGGATTGAGGCATGACCACACCCTACTTGGGAATTCCGTCTCTCTCTCTGTCTTTCCTTTTCTCTCTCTCTCTCTTGCTCATAAGCATATGTGCTCTCTGGCAATTAAAAACTTTTTGTTTTCTAAATTAAAAACAAATTGGACCAGCCAAGTGGTTTGGTGGTTAAAGTGGCTAAATCCACGACTGACTGTGTAGTTTAGGTCTTGGATGTAATGACTTAAAGACCATGCCAGGCATGTGTGCATGTATGCACAAAATCTCAGGTAGAGAATGGAGGTGAAGGGATTGCGGCATAGTCATTCCCCTTGGGAGGTGCTTCCTCACTCTCTCTCAGGTGAGCCTATGTGCCCTATAGCCCCCCCCCAAAAAAAAAGAAAAGAAAAAAAGAAATGAAAAGCCCATTTTATCTCCACTGATCTTTAATGTCAGTGCTGGGGGCTGGGGATGAGTTATTTAGACAAAGGAATAGGGAAGCCTTCTCTGATAAAGAGACATTTAAGCAGGGACCTAAATGAGGTGAGGGAGTGAGTAAACCATGCAGTTATCTGGGGGATGTTTCCTCAAGGCATAGGAAAAACCCAGTGCAAATAGCCAGAGGTGGGAGCATCTCATAATTTTGGAATTTGAAAAAGGTGAGTGCATTGGCTGAGTGATCAGGAGGCAGTGATGAGAGATAGCATTGGAGGGACTGTTAGAGGCCGGAATATCTGGGCTTTGGGCTTTGTTCTAAATGTGATTGACAGATATCAGAGGGCTTTGAACTGGGTAATGTTTTAAGATTTGTTTTAAAGTGATTATGTTGTCTCCCATGTAGAGCCTAAACTGTAAGGGGGCTAGAGATCAGTTACAAGGGAAAGTCGATAGCAGCTTGGGTCGTGGTGGTGGGGCCAGAGTGTGTAGAAGTTGTTAGATTCACAGTATATTTTGAAGGCTGAGTCAAGAGAATCTGCTGATGGACTGAATGTGGGGTGGGAGAAAGAGGACTAAGATCTCCTCACCCTTTCCTTTTCATTCATTCAATTTATTTATTTATTTAGCAGAGGTTTTTGCTGCAGAGCATGTGCACTCGCTAGAAAGACAGAGAGAGACAGAAAGTGAGAAATTACCCCCCAGGGGGGAACGGCCATGCCACAGTCCCTTCTCCTCCATCCTCCTCTCGGGATCTTGGGCATGCATGCACATGTGCCCGGCATGAGTTTAAGCCGCTGGGTCTGGGACTCGAACCACTGTTGACTACATGGGAGTCCAGTGACATAGCCATTATGCCAGCTGCTGGTCCCCCTTTTCTATTCTTTTGAAATGCCTATTGGATGTTCGTTGGATCCTTTAATCCATCTGCCATCTTAACTAATGTTTCAGACCTTTGCCTTGGCCTTTGGCTGTATTTTGGGTGAATTCTACAGTTCCTTTCAATTTATGAATTTCCTTTTAACTTTGATCAGTGTAGAGATTTTTGTGACTTGAGTTTTAAATTTTAATTAGTACACACAAATATTTAAAGTTTATTTATTTCTTTCATGAACGAGAGAAACAGAGAGATATAGCACCCTCAACAGGGTTCACATGGTATGATTGACCCACACCCTCAGCCTCAGATCACAGGCACCTGTGTGCCCAGAGGACTCAGAGAGGTCTCAGGATGTGAACCCAGAAGCTTCCTATGTGAGTGAGCCTTACAGAACATGTGTTTTACCACTGTACCATTATCTATCTAGTGCTCTAATTACTGTACATTTATTTATAAAATTAAAAGCAATTTTTTAGTGTCTACTTAACTTTGGTCTCATTTTTTGTTGTTCTTTTGAAAATGGATTCTGAAAGGTATAAGTAGACTTGTGTAGGATTGATCCTCTGCAGGCACGGCTCCCAAGAAAGCAGTTGCCTTCTGCAGGGATCCATAGGAACTGGCCCAATACTTATGACTACCCTATCCAAGCATTAGATACCATCCCTGCAGCCTCTCTCCTCCATCATGCCTGGGAGGCCGGTGCTTCCCTAACCACAGATCATGACTCTAGGTTGCCAAGTCATACATCTGTGACCACAGGGCTTGGACTTAAGTCTTGATTACATGGCGGGTGCTGGTGCTACTTCCCACCAAGGCACTGAGCCTAGGTTGTGCCATGTGAGCTTGCTCTTGTATCTCAGCCTCTGATTACTTCAGGAAACGACTGATGTTTTCCTAGTCAATAGACTCTGATCCTCTCAGTCTGAGTGTCAGGGTTCCTCTCCTAAAGTGTGATGCCTGGCTATGCTGGTCCTTTATGTGCTTCTCTTGGAGAAAAGGGCCACCAAAAACTGCATGTGATTTCTTGTCCTCTCTGTGAGTTTACCCTTGTGGGTGCTGTTCTGACAGACCAGTTGTACATGCTGCTTGGCTATCACCCTTGTTTGCATGGCAGACATTATGCCATTGTTTATCTCTCAAGCATCTTTAATATACTTATGTATGTTTGTTATGCTTCTTCCTAGAACTAATTTCATCTGGGTTGACTCATAATCATGATTGTTGATATTGGCTGTTATGCTCAATATTAGGTTTCTCTGTTTGTTTGTTTGTTTGTTTTAGAGAGAGATTTTTGCTATAGAGTACGTGCACTTGCTGGAGAGAAAGAGACAGAAAGATAGAAAGAGAGAAATCACCCGCCCCCCCCAGGGGCGATGATCATACCACAATCCCTTCTCTATTCTCCTCTCTGGTTTTTGGGCATGTATGCACATGCACCCTAACTGAGTTTTAAGTTGCCAGGTCTGGGACTCGAACTGCAGCCAACTATGTGAGAGTCCAGCGACATAACCATTATGCCATCTGCTGATCCTTCTCTGTGTGTTTTGTAGTTTTGGACTTACAAGTTCGTTTGGAGTGGGAGGCATTTGTTTGTTTTCTTTCTTTCTTTCTCTCCCTATGTATTCAACTCTAAATTGCTGTGGTTGCTTTTTCTTGTTCCCCTTGAATCCTTGGTCCAGAGATAGGACTTACAATGTCAACTCATGACTGGAGACACTGGGGATAGCACAGTGGGTGACTTAATTTGGATCCTGGAAGAGGGGCTTTGTCCTTCTCCTTCCAGCCCACTGCTTCCTAGGAAGTTGTACAGCCAGGCAGAATTTGGCAGCAATTTTTTCAGCTACATTCCTGCATTAAAGTAATCCGACCCAAGGCCGACTCCAGCAGTGAAGCACATTTGGTCCTTCTTATGTATGTATGTATGTATGTATGTATGTATGTATGTATGTATGTATGTTTGTTTGTATGTTATAGCTGCTGTTGTTAGAGCTGAACTCCCTTACAACACCACCAGCTTGCAGACCTGGAACTCAGTGGTCTTATAGCTTCATCCCTGTTTACTTCTCTGGGTTTCTCTTCTATTTCTGATCCAAAGAGATCAAATAGAAATATACATATTTTTTAGCCCAGTTATATATTTTGGCTTTCCCTTTTTATATTTTACCTACCATTGCAGTGTGTCTGGAACAGCAGGCTGCCACCAAGCCAGACTCATCGTGCTATCCTGATCTAACAGGTAGGTAGTCTCTTTAGGTGAGGGCACTTTACTCTCAGGCTGTTTCTGGAAACTGCAGGTTTCTTCTAAAGCAGCCATGCCCCCTGGTGGCATGAGGTAGTATGGTTGGCAAACAGCCAGCAAGGAAAGGGCTACACAAAACTACATCTCTCCTTCCTGCAGACTCTCAGAGATGGAAGGGATCTTAGTGGCTGTGAGATCAACTTCTGTACAGCACAGGCATTCCATCAAGGTCAGGGTCAAGGTCAAGTTGATTAGCTCCCTCTCTAGCAACCACTCAACAGCTAGAAAGCTGTTTTAAGGAACCCTTCTTGTATTGAATATTTCTTCCTATAGCTAGTAGCCAAGTGTCCCAGTTTTGCCATTTGAAGCAGCACTTAGCAAGTGTGATCCTTCCCACATCCTTTCAGCAGCTGATTACAGTAGCTTCTTTTCTTCTGGCTCCCTCACTCAACCTTCCCTTCCAAATGGTGTCCATTCCTATTGCCTGGCTCTGTGTGAACTCTGAGTTATCATGTGGACTTTGTAAAACATGACCTTGTCTTGACCTGGGCAGAGGAAGACCAGGGAGGAGTCTCCTCTTTTGCCTCTGAGTCTCCAAAAGAGAGTAAAGGGGAAAGGTCCCTTCACCGCCTCTGGTTTCAGCCCGGAGTCCTCCCTGGTAGGCGACTGCTGTGAAATGTTTCCCAAGGAGGCATCTCCCTCTAGTGGCCACCGGAATATATTTCAGGATGCTTCCCTCCCTTCCTCTATCCTTTTTCTCCACCGGGTTTTTTTATTTTTTTAATTTTTTTTTATTATAGCTCAAGAAGATCCTCTGAGATGTGGCAGGCAGAGCGGGAGATTGTGAAGCCCCCGTCTGGCCTTCGGACTAAAACGAACTGATTCTATAGTGGATACTGGTGAGAGACAGAGGTCAACTTCAATTTCAATGTTTCTCATTGTTTTCCTAAGCCAACGTTTGCAAATGGTTATACATATGTTAATTAGTATTCTTTCTAGAAACTACGATAGTCGCTGTTCTTGTAGTTGCTTTCCTTATGATGTGGCTTCTTTCATGATTGTCTCTGTCCATCTCTACTGGGTAAGGTTTAGCTGAGATCTTTTTCAGCTGTAGTAAACAGTCACCTTCGCTCCAGTTCAAGTGAAGTTGGGAGGTGGCTGAGAGAACATGGAGCAACACAGGAACAAAGGGGCTCACGGAGCCTGTATTGCGGACCGGAGGTCACACAGCGTGTCCGGGGTCTTTGCTCTTGCTCTCCCCAGTAGGGGACCAAGTCCTCTCCATTCTCTGCTGACAGTTTCCTTGCTTTATGTTTTACTTCTGCCATTTCCTTACATCAGAGCCTCTGCTTATTCATAACCTTTAAAAAATTGACATATAATAATTGTACATATTTGCAGAGGCACAATGTGGTTTTTCAGTACAATAATACAGTGCATAATGATTAAATCAGGGTGAGGAGCATACCTATTATCTCTACCATTCATCATTACTTGTGCTGGGAAAATTCAAAATCCTCATTTAGTTCATTGTGGTCCCTCTCCTCTTTCCGCCTCAGGACATTTCAGCTCTCGCCAACAAATGACGTATTTTCCTGGCACTTCTTGTTTCCTGAGAGAGTAATCTAATTGACACTCTCCCCCCATTTCTTTCAGTGCTGAGTCATTTCAAAAGTCTCAGGCCAGCCAGTGACTTGGCTCTTTGGGGATCTGCTTCCTGTTGCAGTCAGCTGGGCAGGGAAAGGGGGTGATACAAAACAGAACTACCTGGGCTGCAGCAGGGGCTAAAGGCAGGGTTTTCTTCAGAAAGAGACATGGGGGTGGCATATTGTTAGGCTATCTCATCTGAAGCTCATGTGTAGCTGCTGTGATTGGAGCCCTTGTCTGGGATCTGGGTGATCTGGTCCACACTGGAGGGGACTGGTTGCACCAATGAAAGCTTCAGGACATCACCTGGTGAGATTTGTCTTCCCCATTTATCTTACTGTGTTTCCTGTTTTCATTGTGTGATCAGTGGTGAGGAGGGGCACAAAGAATGACTGCATATCCTGGAGAAGCATACTCACGACTTACCTCATGGGCAGATTAATTGGTTGGCTGATGAAGGACAATGTCACGTTGGGGCAGAAGTGAAAGGAGCCTTTAGGAATTGTACAGTGTGAAAACTGCACACTGTTAGTGGCTGCCTCTCTGGGATCAAGCTAAGCATCACATCCATCTCAGCCTGCTTTGTACCCCTGCAATAGGGATTCCTCTCATTCAGGGGGCATAAATGCATAGATTTGGGTATATAGGACACTTTAAAAAAATAAACTTGTACTTTGATTTTCTATAAACTTTTTTTAATAATTATTTTATTTAACTTTATTTATTTTTTATATTTTTAATTTGACCAGAGAGGGACTGAGTGAGAAAGAGAGACAAAGAGGGAGAGAAAGTGAGAAAGCAAGCCGCCAGGTCTGGGACTTGAACCATGATCAGCCATGTGAGAATCCAGTGCCCTTAATCACCACACTACCTGCTAGCCCCTATAGGACACTCTTGAGGGGGAAGTGGAAGAAATGAACTATTATCATTTACTGAGCACTTTCTAAATGCTAGTGGCCATGTTAACTATTTTACATACATTATTCATGTTTCTGCATCAAAGCTATGTTGCAACTATTATTACCATTTTACAGCTGAGGAAACAGCTCACATCAGCCTGGGCTCCTCTTTCTAGCTGCACAAGTTGTACATTTGCAGTCTTCCAGGGGATGTTATTTGCCTGTAGTAAAAGTGGCCATGTTGGCTAGAGGGGGAGGCAATATGTCAGTTGTCCTCCATAGCAAAGTGGGGGGCAGAGCTGAGGTTCAAGCCCAGGTCTGAGTGACTTCAAAGCTCATGTATTTTCTGCCACATGAATCTATAAGAGACCCCAGAGGAAAAAAAGCAACTGAACTCATTTATTTTTTTTCTTTTTCTTCCTTAGAGAAAATTCCTTTCATGTATTCTGAAATCAAGTGCAAGGAACATGGAATTTCATCTACAATGACAGTGACTGCTTGAAAGGAAAAGTGAGCATCTGCTACATGTGATACCTGCTGCTGTCCTAGGGGGTGGGCTATAAATAAGACACAAAGTCCAGCAAAGGCTACGCTGGGTTGAATTATGACCAGAACAACATGGTTTGATGAAGTCAATCTGAGAACTGGATTTGGCCCTTATTAGAGATTTTCTATCCCACAGAAATACTACTGGTCTTTGATTATACAGAAGAGGAGAAAGGAGTTCCAGGAAGGCAGATGTGTCTTGCTCAAGATCACTCAGCTGGTTGTCACTACTGAGTGCAGGTTCGTCCCTACTGGATCCTCTGTGGTGTTTTGTAGAGGCAAGGAGAGGGGAGTCAGTAAGAAATAGGAAAAAGGTGGCTAAGCTATTGGAAGAAAGAGAGAGGACATTTGTTTCTTAGAGTGAGTAGTGTGAGGGAGGCCCTGGGGAGACTATTATTCCCTGGGAGTGCTCCATGTGTGCTCAAAACCACTGTATTATATGAAGTTGATCCTCGGATATTATCACTATTGTGAGCTAAAACCAGATGTGACCCTTTCCAGGAAATTGCCTGTTCTTGTTATCTGAGGGAGAACACACAAGAATTCAGTGGCTCGAAGAACATTGAGGGTTACTTCTTTCTCTCACTTCACAGTCTGTGGTGAGTGGTGCACTTACGGACTCCACAAGGTTACTCAGCCTTAGACAGATCTGCTGACCAAAGCTGAGATGTGGGCACTTCTGGATTCCAGAAAGAATATGGAAGAGCATATGGAAGTATTCTATCAGGTTGTTGGAAAAGTCATGATGCATTTTTGCAACAGATGGCACTAGTTTACTTTTGGAAGTACTAGAGTCATTTACATCTATGTTATTGCTATGTCATTTGACATCTGACAGTTCTAGCTTCATTTTAAAAAATCTGAAGCGAAGTGGTTGGGTTTTTGGAGATTTTACAAGTTGAAGATGGAAGACCAAACCCTACATTTTCGCCATATTTTATTGTTTTATTTCCACAAAGGAAAGAATGCGCGTCAAGCTTGTAAAAAGTTGCGTAAAGTTTATGGTGGCAATGCTCTACAAGAACGTCAGTGCCAACGATGGTTCATGAAATTCCGTGCTGGTGATTTTGATCTCAATGACGCTCCTCGGTCAGGGAGGCCCACCAAGGTTGATGACGACAAGATAAAGGCATTGATCAAATCAAACCCACGTTACACAACACGAGAGATTGCAGAAGCATTGAACATCCATCATTCAAGTGTTCACGACCACCTGAAAAAGCTGGGATACGTAAGAAAGTTTGATATTTGGGTTCCTCATGAACTCAAAGAAGTTCATTTGATGGCACGAATAAACATCTGTGATATGCTCATTAAACGTGAGGAAAATGATCCTTTTTTGAAACGACTGATAACTGGTGATGAGAAGTGGATTGTTTACAATAATGTGGTGCCCAAACCATCCTGGACCCAGCAAGATGATTCACCTCAAATGATATCGAAAGCAGACATTCATCAGAGGAAGGTTATGCTCTCAGTGTGGTGGGATTTTAAAGGTGTTGTGTTTTTTGAGCTCCTACCAAGGAACCGAACAATCAATTCAAATGTGTACTGTCAGCAATTGGACAGTTTGAATGAATCCATCATCCAGAAACGTCCAGAGCTTGTTGATCGTAAAGGAGTTGTATTCCATCACGACAGTGCAAGACCACACACAAGTTTGATCACTCGTCAAAAATTACTGGAGCTTGGATGGGATGTGTTGCCACACCCACCATATTCACCTGACCTTGCACCATCAGACTTCTACTTGTTTCGCTCTCTTCAAAACTCCTTGCGTGGTATAACATTCGATTCAGATGAGGCTGTAAATCAGCATCTTGTTCAGTTTTTTGCCGATAAAGACAGGTCCTTCTATGAACGAGGAATTATGAAGCTCACTGAAAGATGGCAAAAGGTTATTGAACAAAATGGGCAATATATCATCGATTGATCTTTGTTCTTTATATAAATAAATGACCTTTGAAAAACAGAAAAAAAATACTTCATGACTTTTCTGACAACCTAATAAGTGACATATGTCATTCTTGCTCATTTTCTGCTGGCGAGAACTTAGTCCCATGGGAGCAAGGGGCTTTGGAAATGTAGTCTCTCCCTGGGTTGCCCAGCTACAATGCAGTTCCTATTAAAGAAGGCAGATTTGATCACTGAGTGTCTCCACTGTAGCCCTTGAAGGCTTTATTTTCTCATATACTCTTCCAGTCACCCTTTCAGTCAAGAAGCATTTTGGACACCTCCTCTGAGTCAGGCAGGCACAGGATTGAGAGTACAGGGCACGGGAGACCTAGGTGTTTTCAGGCAGAATACATTCCCCAGAAGCAGCAGTGTTTGCATCAAGTTATGAGGATGAGTAGGTATTACAAAGAAGGTCACTCAAGCTGGAAGCAGTAGCTTTTGCAAAGGCCTGGAGGTGAACAGGATGAGTGGAGGGCTGATTGTGACAAAGTGGCTGGTGGTAGGCAAGGGTGAAGGGGCAGAGCCAGATCACACAGTGTCTTACGATGAAGCTACAACTTTCAAAAGATCTTTCAGAGAAGAGATCTAATGGCATCAACTGTAAAGGGAACCTCGAGGGATTGGACCTCCAAATTTTAACCTTTATTTAAAAGACTAAAAAGAACCTGGACTGAGTGATTTAGCTCACCTGAGCTGAGCTTTGATGTTCCATACACGAGGATATCTAAGAACAGACTCAGCCAACCTTTGGAAGACATTGTGAGATGGCTGAGCCTGTCTGGACCACAGGATGTGTGGATGGTGTCCTCTGAAAGGGAAGGGGTGTAGTGGGGGCAAGCCAGGGCATACATGGACTTGGGGAGAGAGGCCTTAGCCTGGCCGAGGTGACAGCTCTTTGATGCTGACTTCAGAGTATGAAGGTGCCTAGCTATTCTGTGTTGGGACATGAGCCACACCTGATGCTGTGACAATAGGTGGGTGGAGGGTGAAGGCAGGTGGGTAAAGGGTCTCAGGCTGCACTGGCCTCTGCATAGGTCCCTTCTGTCACCTCCAGTCCTCCCGGAAATTCATAGTGAAAGCAGCAGCCTGGGTGCAGGCATACCATGTCCCCTAGAAGAACTGAGAAGCTGCCATCAGAGCAGGGCCCTTCCTGGCACCTGGAGAGGCAGTGGTAGAGGTCACCCTGATGGAAGGGGCTGCGACGGCAGAGCAGTGAGCTCATGGCACCATGGGGAGCCTGCAGGAAAGGCCAGACCAGGAGGATTTCTGTGCTGGGGCTGGTCTTTGCACCTCCGCTAGGCAGTGCATCATTTCTGAGACGCCTGCATGACATGCTGGCGTTCAGGTGGATGGGGCTTAGCCTTAGATGATCACAATTTGGGAACTGAAAGTAAATGTGGTCTGGACTTGAACTATTAAAAAAAAAAAGTGTGGTCTGGCTTTGTAGTCTTTAGGCATGAGGTCTAAAACATTCCAGTATGCTTTCATAATCCTACCCCTCTCTCAAGGACTCTCATGCTCTTACAACTCTCATTGATTGTGAAAATTCACTCTTTAAAAAAATTTCTTTTTTAAGTTCTCAGCTTCAGTGCCCCATTTATGTCTGTCTTTTGTCTTTTCCTCCCTCCTCATTGTCTGTGTCTCATTCCCCCCATGGCCTCTCGGTGTGCTCAGCTCTTGCCATCTGAGACACTTGGTCACCTTGAGGTTCTTATGTGTTTGTTCTCTCTCCAGCCTCTGCAGGTTAGGCTGCAAAGAAGCTGCCGCTCCTCCATAGGTGGTGGGGGCTGTCTGCCTTTCTCCTGAGCGGTGGCCTTTCTGTCTCATCACTGGCCTCAGGTGGTCCTTGCAGGCTCCCACAGCAGCCAGGCTTCCTGCTCATGATTAAAGGGGGTGCTCTGCTCATCTGAAACAGCACAGGGGCTGAAGCTGATGACTAGAGCAGGTCCCCAGTTCTCCTGGTACAGGCAATTGAACACATTGCTGCAAAGAGTCATCTCTGTTCTGACTCGTTTCTTCTTTCGTACTACCCAGTCTCATGTTAATTGCCTTTCTGACAATTTTTCTGGCAAGTTATTTTTGCTGTAAGGAAGCTGGGGTTGCCATTGCATGTGAAAGTGATATCATAAGCCTAAGAGGAAGTAAGCCTGGTGACCTGATGGAGAGTGGGGAAGGTGGACACCCACCCTGGGTGGAAGATAACAAAGGTGATCACGAACATTTTGTTGTTGTTGTTTACAAAAACCAGGTTCAGAGCCTTTAGAAATAAGGGTAGTCTGAGGCCATACCTTTTTCAGGGTGTCATTCCCTTGGCTTTTATGGTTTTGGAAGCTCAGCCTTCCTGGTACAGGGATCTCAGGATGCAGGGTCCTGTGTGCTGGGCTACATGACCTTGGAGATATTCTCCAGGATCTCATGAGTGTTGGCAGCACAGAGACTAGAAATACAGTGATCATATCTTCCCAATCACCTGTCAGGTCATGCAGCTTAGCAGTTCAGTTAACTCATCTATCCAAGGTGTTTATTCAGCTCCTACTGTACACCAGGCATGGTGCTAAGGGCTGGAGATAGGACTGTGAATAACTCACATTTCCCACTTCAGAACGTTCACAGCCCACAGCCTGGGTGGGGACATAGAACCACTTTTTTTTTTTTTTTTGGTTTAAAGTATTTACGTTTATTAAATTTACAATCAGAATGGAATGTCTCCTAAGTCATCAGTATCCTGAGGAGAAAAATGAAACACAAAGCAAATGATTTTCTTGTCCCATCTCCTCCATGGCACTGCTGAGGAAGTTCCCACTTCACAGAGTTGCTGAAGTCCTTTCTAGTTCAGAAGGGTAGACATTTGGAAGTAGGAACAACTTTTTCATCTTAACAATGGAATGGATAGTCCTTTGTTAAAGTCTTTTCCATATTCAAGTCTCTGTTCCCCAACCTGGGAGGCATCAGGCATCGTTGGGGGTCCAAGGATAACCATCTGCATCCCACCAGTCCGCATAGCCTCTGAGCAGAAATAAGCTTGGCCAGTGTGGGACCAGAGTTCAGCTGGTCACTGTGGAGTGGACCATTCAACTTTTCAAACATGAATTACAACCACAGATGCGCCCTTTTCTTGGCATTCTAATCCCATTGGAGACTTTTCATTAAGACCTTGTTCCTTTGCATACATTTTGGACACAACATATTGTCTTCCAGGTGCAGGGGTTGGAAACTGCAGGCTAGAAGTAAGAAGAGGGCACACACTCTCCCTTTTTGCTTCTCAGGAACCCAGGCTTAGCCAGCATGAAACTGCAGGTGAACCCAACCACCTGTGTTTGCAGGGTGACTTCTCCCATGGACCACACATCATGTGACACCATAGGCCTCTTGTGGGGATTCCACGGCCTCTGTTTCTGCTGACTCCATCTTCCCACCACAGATGCAATTCTGGCCCAGGAGGCCAGCACAGGCTCTGGGGCAGAGGTTGTCGCCTCAACTGTATTAACTCCCTCAAGGAGAGCTGCAGACTCTTCCAGGTTAGACAAAGTCTCTGCAGATGAAGGAGTCACTTTCGGAGGATTAGTCCTTTCATAACACATCCCTTCCTGAGGACTTTGTACAGATGCTTTCTCTCTGCCCATCTCTAATTTTAATTGAGTAATGATGACTCAATCCTAGCCTCTTTTGCTGTGGTAGGAATATCCTTTTGATTTGGATAAGCACAGGCACACAGTCTCCTGTACTCATCTAATTTCTGGCCTTTGGAGCTGATCTTTAATTGTTGGCACCAAGGCCGCAGGATGTCTCTGTGAAGCTGGTTGACGAGTGGCAGTTCAGAAGGCAGTGTGGGAGTTGGTATCTTTTTCTGAGGCTATAGGCTGTCATTGCTTTGTGCCTTATCCTTTGGACAGGAAACTTTGTCACCCTTCGCAGATCTTCTTCATTTTTTCCCCTTTGCTGAGGTTGCCAATAAACTTGTAGATGTGACTGGTTGACTGGAAGCCCACTGTTTCTCTTCAGTTTCAGACACTTGTTCACACTTAGAGTTTTCATACTCTTCTCTTGACTTCTCTGTGGATTTCCACTCCTTGCCTCTTGCATGCTCCATACTCTGAAAGTAGATCAGGCTGATAAAAGAAAAATTCTTCTCACTCTAGACCCACTTCTATCTATCTATCTATCTATCTATCTATCTATCTATCTATCTATCTATATCTAATACACATACATATATGTATATGTGTGCATGCATGTGTGTGTGTGTATTTAAGTTTATTATTTTATTCCTTACAGTCGAGTGAGTAGCCCCCACTCACTTTTATTTCTTACATTCCCCCTCCCCAACTGGGTTCTAACACCACAATCCTCCCCCAGCCTCAGCCAGGCCTGGATCATGGGCACACAGATGTCCAACATACTCAGCGAAGTCTTTGGACACAAACTGGAAGCTTCCCATGTGAGTCAAAACATCACATTTTACTGCTGTGCTACTGTTTGATCCCCCCTCCCATTATAATGCATGTAGCAAGTACCAGGTTTCAGTTATATATAAGGTATTTGAGCACAGAATAGAAAAACCTAGCTTAGTCTCAGGAGTCAGGACAGGCTTTCTGGAGGAAGAACTAACATAACTCAAGTTTTGAAGAATAAGCAGGAGTTAGCTGGGGCAGGCAAAGGGAAGTGTGGAGGTGAGGAAGGAAAAGGTAAATTATTTTCCTGCCTGAACTACCTAGTTTAATAATAACATGGTGAAACCAAGCCATATGAAGACAGGAAAATTATAAAGCATAGGTCTATCGACTTTACAGACCAAATTTCAAGCTTATTTCCTTTGTATGAGGGCCTCAAACTTGGTATCCAACCACCCAATCTTTGGCCTGTGTGTCCCCTTCACAGTTTCTCCCAGGAGGTAAGGCAATAAAGAATTCCCCCAGGACTTCACTGAGCATGCCCGGACTCATATCCAGCTCCACTTGCAGACTTCCTGACGTGGGTGTTCCTTTAGCTCCTGGTACATGCAGAGCACGTGGTGGGTGCTCATCAAATTCTTGATTGCAGCTGTGTGTGTGCTTGCTCCCTACTTGTCAGGATGATCAATGAATTGGGCAGTTAGAGGCAGCCATGACAGTTACACGTGCCGTTAAGTTTACAGGGGAACATGAGTCAGGCCAGAGATATGGCTGCAAGCAGCCTCCCTGGTACCAGCCACAACCTAATAGAAACAAGGTCTTTCCAGGGGGGACAACTCTGCTGGTCTCAACTGGAGGCAGAGGGCTAGGTGAATGCCACCAAGGGCCAGTTTCTCTTCTATAGACTCTAGGGATTAACCCATAGACTCTACTTCCTGACTTTGTCTCTGGCCTCAGCTTTTTCAGGCTGACAATGGGAAGTCCACCTGGTACCAGCCACAACCTAATAGAAACAAGGTCTTTCCAGGGGGGACAACTCTGCTG